AAAGCTGATCTTTGCTATCTTTGCATCCTAAGGAGTAGGGTTATTTGTTTTAACAAGATTTTTGACAGCCATCATGGAAATGTTTTAAAAATGAAATTCAAGAACTCCTTCACTGAATAAGTAAATGTATACTTGAACTAAAAATAGATATATATTAGTGAAAGTTTCAATGTTCACCTGTGATTTTCTTCTGTTTTACATAGGCTTCATCTTCAGAAGATATGGGCAGGTGGATTGGGATTCTGCTGGCTGAGAGTGGGTCATCTGCAGATCCTGGCACTCTGCACTATGACTACATAGATGTGGATGTGTCAGCTAGTGTCATTCAAGCTGCAAAGCAAACATTCTGGTAGGAGGAGTTAATCAGTTGAGAACATTCTGAAGAACTTTGGCCTTTTCAGTGTTTTTGTTTTGGAGTTGAGAAATCTGAATTCTTATTTATTAATAAATCAGGAATCTGAGATGGTGAGAGGCAGCATGCAATATGCTTCATATATTGTATAGTACCATGTGCCCCAAGAATGGATATGCTAGCTCAAAGCTGAAAGGCAAAATATATCAACAAATGCCCTTACTTACAAATACAGCATTTAGCAATTCATCAAGTAGTTTTGCTAGACGTGCTTGAATAGGAAATATGTGACCAATCTGTGATGCAACACTGTATTTTCATCAGTTCCTTCATGATCATAGTTGGGGATAATCAAATTTAAAATCTAGCAACATCTGGAGAACTAGACTCTTTAAACATACATATTTCTTCTGGTTTGATCTGCACTTGGAATGAAATGGTGTTCTTTTGATCTGGGCAGAAATGACTCAGAATGAGGTGTGGAAGAAGAAGGGAAAAAGTGAAAGACAATAGTAGCTAAGGGGAGACAGGGAGGCCTCTAATGTCAGAACTACTTTGTTTTCTGTTGATTCAAAACATAATAATATGGGCATGTAGGAAATAGATAAGAGATTTAGTTTGTAACCTACAGCAAAGCATGGCATTCTGGAAGACCTGATGGACCAACCACAAGTTCTACAAAAGTGAAACCTGTAAAGGTTTGATTTTTCTGTGGTTTGGATAACACAAGATCTCCACAAGGATAAGACTGGAACATGTTCCAGCTCACTCAGCCACACCATAGCAAATCCTAGCATGGAAGGGAAACCATTTCCCATGGTTTCCCTTCCTTGCCTCCCTGCCTCTCCTTGCAGTGGCAGTTCCAGCAGTATTAGTTGCCATTGTGAAGCAAGGAGTGCAAAGGCAATTAGGGATGGATTTCGCAAGGCTGCAATTTCTGAATTCCTGCTGGCTTCCCCATTGATTTTGCTTATGGGAAATGGCAGGGAATGTTGGAAATTGTGATCATGTGACCGCAGCTCACTGTGATTTCATAATTGCAACCTGGGTGCTAAATGCCCGGCTTACAATCCCATGACCATAGGAACATTGATGGCTGGAATTCCAAGGGCGAATGGTAACTATCACTTGTTTAGTACTGTTGTAAGTTTGAACCGTTGCTGAATGAATGGTTATAACTCGATGACTATCTGTAGTTCTGCTGCAACCAGAGAAAGGAATTAATTGCAGCAATAGGACTGACATTAAGATATGCAGAGGACATGGAGAATTTAAGATTCTGTGATCAAGGGTGCTGCTTGATTTACCTCTGTGATACCATCTTTCTTTCTAGTGGCAGAGGAACTATGATAATGGAGATTATTACTACAGATGGAACTTCTCCATAAAACTCACCCCCATGGTGTTATCCCCCTAATCGGGAACCAAAGAATTGCAGCCTTTACAATGAGTTTGTCTAATCAATTAATTCAAGGCTGAAGCCCTTCAGTAACTTATGGCCCATTTAAATGGCCATTACGTTTTCCCAGTTTGTTAAGAAAGTTGTGTTAGAAGGTACAGAGAGTAATAATCTTTCAGTAGTAGCTTTTCAAGCAATATAATGATATACAATATAAGAAAATACATTGTTGTATTCAGTATCTCAGAAAAACTAAAAACTAGATACAAAAACAGATCTTGTATTTATCTTAAGATTGTGTTACTTAAATAATTGGATTTGGTTATCAGTGCCAAAATAACATTTTGGAAATGAGCCCACAAAATATAATGCTTCTGAAAATTTAATGTTCAAATCTTTTCGTAGATATTTGTTGGAGCATTTAATAATAGTTCAGAATAGTTATTTATCGTATTCAACTGGTAATTCTTACATGAGTTTTTTTGAACAATGTGATTTGCCCAAAGCAGCACTAAATGAGAATTTTAAAATATGGATACTGAGGGAAGGGCAGTCTTCCTAAAAGAAAACACAAGTGGATTTAAACTTGTTTAGCTTTCTTACCACAGACAGAAACAGGCAATGCCAGTCCTAAAACATTACAAAATCCCTCAAGAATTAGGAAAACATTTAAAGTCTCCTCTGCCAGACTTCTCTGTTTTCTTTTGCCAAATTCAAGCTATATATCTTCTTTTCTTCTCAGCAAAAAACTAAAGTCTGACTTTTATGCTGTCTCAGACTAATCACACAAAGCTCTTGGCTCCAGGAAAAAATTGCTTGTTTAAAATCAAAGGGAGGCTGTGCATTACTGTACTTTATACTGTGATTGTCCCATCTCCTGTTCTGTGAGGTTTGTCTCTCTTTGCAGTTATACATTGTGATTTGAACACCTAAAGCCATTTCCCGATAGCTCTTGAAGGAACAGATTCATTTCCATAATTACAAGTTCCTTCCAGAGAAGTTTTTCTATTGAGCAACCTAAATCTTCAACTTTGCCCTTTAAAACAATTGTCTGTCTTTTGACTTAACAATGTATGCCCCTCCCCACATACAAGTAAGTAAAAATGGAAGCTTTCTGACAAAACATCAGGCTGTAGTGCCATTCAGTGTGTATTCCAGACTGTAGTGCCATTCAGTGTGTATTCCAGTGTGTATTCCAGTCTCTTAAAAGGCAGAGACTTGTAAAACAATTTATGGAAACATGTGTTTATTTTATGAAAAGACATGAACTTTCAAAGTGAACTCATTATTTGTTGTCCTGCTTGTTTTTGTATTTCAGTTTTATGAACAGACGGGTTCTTTCTACTAATCCTTACAGAGGAAATGCTACTAATGGCTATGCGTGTCCCAGTGGGATGGCACTTCATTATGATGATGTTCCTTGCATAAATGGATCAGTAAGAATTGACTTTTGTGTAGGTCAAATAATTTATGTCTGTTGAACCTCTAAAAAAACTTATGAAGCTTCTTAATTAAATATCACTGGATATTATCACAAGGTTTTGTTGTGTCTCAACCAGAGAAGTGGGGGAAATTAGTTCAGTATATCTCATATGAAAGCCAGTACAAATATGTCTGTCCCTGTATTCCTTCGTTCATTAAGTTACACCTAAACATAATAGAACTCTCTGGAGAAAAATAAAAGCAAGGGTTTGATTAAGCATGTTCTATGGCTAAAATACAGAGTAATGGAAAATGTGCATGAATTTGTCTTCATGCAATTTTTATCCTATATATCTCCTAGCCATTGATAGATAGACCTTACTTAACGACTTCCTTGTTTAGTTACAATGGCACTGAAAAATAACTTCAGAACCAGTTGCTGCATTTACAACTATCACTGTATCCCGCGATCGCATGACCACCATTTGCATGCTTTACAAACAGCTTCTGAAAAGCAGACTCAATGGAGAAGATGGTGGTAAAATCACCAATCACGGTCACATGATGTCTCACCTAATGATCCACAGTGACTTGCTTAACGCTGTTGCAGTCACATGATGTTTCACTTAGCAACTGTGTCATTGAGACAGAGCTGGTGGTCCCATTCATTTAGGAGTTTTCTCCAGCCAGTCCCTGAAATTGATTGACTATGATTACCCATGTGTATCTTATAAGTGTAACTTTACCATATGATAGTTTCCTCTTTCCAATATAATTACATTTCTTACAGTACTTATCCATCTATCTTTAGGAGACATAAAAAAAGTTCATTTTAAAATATCAACAATATATTGTTACGTGTAGTTACCATAAATACTGGCTGAAATTGCTTCTGATTGCTTTCTAACTCTGTATATTATATAGCTCTATATTTTATCTTTCAGTGAATGCATTAGATCCTAAAAATTATTAGAAGCTGGATCCATTCTCAGATAATTCTTGACAAAGAAATTAATGTTACTAACACACATTGATCATTCTGATACATTGACACAAGAATAAGAAGTTCCCCAACAACGTGACTTGTGGGGCTATGCACATTTACTTCTTGATTTCTTTGCTTGCATCCTTCTGTTAGGCCAGTGATGGCGAACCTTTTAGAGACTGAGTGCCCAAACTGCAACCCAAAACCCACTTACGCATCGTCGAGTGCCGGGTGGGTGTGGCCCATTGGGTGGGTGTGGCCCATTGAGTGGGCGTGGCTGCGGTGGTAACGGCAGACTGGGTGGGACTAAAAAGTTCAATCAATCAATTCCAACTTTGCAAGATCTTTTTTTTTCCTGCGAGAAGTTGAAATTGACTGATTGAACCTTTTTTTTTTTTTTTTTTTTTTGCACACGGCGGCGGAGGCCTAAAGTGAAAAGGTTTTATAAAACCCAGCTGAAGGCCTAGGACTGGAGCGACGGCGCGTATGCCCACAGAGAGGGCTCTGACTGCCGCCTCTGGCACCCGTGCCATAGGTTCGCCACCACTGTGTTAGGCAATCACCTGTAGTTATGGTTTCTTGGTTTCTAAATCTCTGTTTCTTGTGATATCCAAATTAAGCTCCTGAAATTTAAAAATTGGTTATTAATCAGTATAAGAACCTAGTTTGAAACTCTAATTTGTAGGAACTTCTTAAATCAAAATGATAAAAATTAAAGCAAAGAATCAACATGCATCAAGACATGTTAAAAAAGAGGAGGAACGCTCTATCAAAATTTTAGTATAGGAAAGGTCAAAATTTTCCCTCTTGTTAATTTGTGGTTTCAACTCAATAGTCAGATGTTTGGCATATTTCATTGAAACTTATCTGATAGACTATAAGATAGACAACATATGGATATTGAATGGCATTATTTCTTACTATCCTTTTCAGCAATGTGCTTAGAAATCTTAACCTTGGAATTTGCAAGATTTCTAAGCACATTTTGATATAGTTATTGTGAACTAAAAGCAAATTTTAGAATAAAAATACAGTAGTACCTCGGTACTCGTCATTAACTCATTCCGGGAGATGTAACAAGGACTAAAAACAAGTACCAAACAAACCACGGACTTACCATGTGACCCTTTGTTTTAGCTCGGAAGAACTTCCTACCCATCCCTTTTCCTATGCCAGTGATCTTCCCAGCACGGCCGACTTCCTGTCCACCTTTTGCGGCCGTTGCCTACTTATTTCTGAGCAATCTTCCTGAAATGACCGATTCCTCTTCCTATTGCAGTGTGTTGAGTACCAAACAAATGACAAGTACCTTGACAACATTTTCACATCAAAATGCTTCGAATACCAAATTTGACGAGTTTTGAAGCAGTCAAGTATCGAAATACCACTGTATAGAACCAAGAGAGAAGGATCTCTTGCTGGGGATTGGAGGGGTTTTCTTAATTGCTCAGTTAACTTTCTGATTATTCCATTTTTTTCAGTGCATGAAGTTATGCTAATTTACTAAGTATATATGTATTGCAGAGGGAACCAGAAGATGGCTTTCCTACTTCTTCTAGCAAAAACACAGGAGAAGATGGGCTTTATGATAACATGGGCCTGTATGATAATTTGCCATCTCCGAAAATTTTTGCACGTTGTTCACCAGCAGAGCGAAAAGCCAATAGGTTATCTACTGACAAACTATCATCTAACCATTATAAACATCCTATCTCATCCAATCTGTCTTCTGCTCAGTCTGTCACTAATACCTCTGCTGTGGGGAGGGGATCTGTTGCACAGGTACTAAAATGCTTAATTCTTTTAATCATATTTCTGTTCTTGCTTTTGTGTACTGATTATTAAATGCTTACGGTTAGTTAAATAATATAATATCACAAAAATTGTTATCGTTAATTTAGAAACACTGGATATGAGAATAACATCTTAGAAACCTATGCACTTTTCTTTTTAAAATTCTTAGCTTAATTTAGCTTGCTCCAACCCCTCCAGACTAACACTACAGCTCAGGACTCCCAATTATCCTTGAAGATTCTGGTAATTCCACCTGTAACATTTCTGAAAGACATCAATTTAAATCAAACTATCTTGGATTTTTCACAGAGCAGGTTTCAGGGGATACATATACAGTATTAGCAATATGATTGCTTCAACAGCTGAAATTAAGTCCTTGGTAATGGTCAACTTCAAAGCCTACAACATTCTGTACTTTTCTGTACTATCTGTGTGCAATTACGTGTGTGTAAGTAGTTGAATATACTGTACTGCAGTTAGTGTATCGAGTATGGTATGGATCGTTATTGTGGCTTGGGTGATTCCTACTGTTCTGTGTTGTGCAGATGATGCTGTTTCATTCTAAAAGAAACAAATTGACTTACTTAAATACAAAATCATTTCAAATAAATAGGCTTCATTCAATTTTGTGATCACTTTCAAGTCTTTGGGGATGTGATCTTTCAAAAGAAATTTATTTCACATTCGGAAGTAATAGAGATGATGCAGTTCCCATCAGTAATGGAAGATGGGAGAAGTTTTTGACAAGTTGGCCATATACTTTTATCCTGTTATAGTTTACTGTTTTTTCATTTTGGGAGTGGAACAGTCATTCCTCTGCGGTCAGTGATCAGTGTACTGTTTGCTGTATATTTAGAAAACCAATTTGAAATTTGCCTAAAAGTTTTGTTCTAAGAATAAGAAGATCTGCTAAAGTTTAAAATAATAGTGAAATGAGTTGCTGGGGAATCTCCCCCCCCCATCAGTTCATTTTATTGCATGCATTGCAAAATGATTGTTGCTTGTTTCAAAAGAATGTTATGCAACATTGTTTCAAGAGTGTTTTTTATTGAAATGAGTAATTGAAGGTTCTAAAAAATCAGATAAACACAGATATTACCTCCTTAATGACTCATTTTAATGACTCACAAAAGCTAATGTTATTCTGAGGCAAAACAATATAAAATATAAATCGAACATTTCACATTTCAACCTTCCATATTTGAACCATAAAGAAATAACTAGTAAATAATAAATACAAATAATGTAAGTCTAAATGTTGAAGTTCTACTCTTGTCTAATTAAAAACAGATGTCTTTTCACTCTTTGCAAAATATTACATTGCCCCAGTCATTACAACATAGTTCTGAACATGTGGCACTTCTAATAAAGGCTGATGTTAATTTAAGATTTTATTGCCAGTTCGTTTCCTGGGCTTAAGAGATCAGTCTTAAGTTTTCTGGAGCTTCTGGGCCCAGTGTATCTTTCGATGATTATTTTGTGATGTGGCCCTTTCTCAAGCAATATTTTTTTTAAATTTTATGTTGTCTTATATGTTTTCAAAAAGCACAATGGATGCCTTTGGTTGCTTCAGAAGCATGGTTTTCTAACTACCTTGATTTTAAATTTTTAATCAAAACTTGCCTCTATTTGTTCCCAGTGTTGTAAGAAAACTGCACTTAATGTTTAGCAATAAATGCATTCTTGGATTTTCCTTACAGTTTAAAGGGAAAAAAATGCCAATAGCTGCAAATGGGATTTCAGGAAAAGGGAGAACATTAAGTAATTCACTAAAAAAATCAGAATTTGCTTCAAATGTGAAACGTAGCAGCTCTAGTGAGTATTCTTTATTTCTTCTGGCTTTGAAATATCTTATTCTTTTAAACTATCTGAAGTTTTATCTGAGGTAAAATAATTCTTTGGGCATGATAGATAAGTATTTGCCTACTGTCTTTATTCATTTTATCTGTTATCCATGCATCTGTCTATTGTCCATGAGATAAATGACTGCTCACACAGAAATTTCATTACAAAAACCAAGGTCATTCATCATGATCATCAGTGTTCTAAGGTAAGTGGGAGATTCAAGTTGATAGATTATAAGTAATTTCTGGAGAACTGTCTTCTCGTTGTCTTGTATTTCTACTTTGCTTAATACATACACTTTTTCCTACTCCATTATTATAATTTATTTGAGAAATAAAATAAAATAAAAAATTGGATCACATTTGCATCATATGCCTAAAGTATATGGGTTTCTCCATGTAGATCATTGTTTCAAGGAAGCAGCCAACATTTAGTTTGTACAAGATCAAGTGATTGATTCTTTTTGCAGCCTCTGATACTCTCCAAATCTGTAATTCAACAGTGTCTATATTTTTTCACTCTTTCTCAATGTCCAGTTTTCATGGTTGCACATTGACAATGGAAAATAATGGTTTTGATTGTTCTGCTCCCAGTTGTCATAAAAATGCCCTTATCTTGTCAGCTCTGCCATTTTCGGCTTGCCACTTTGCTAACAGCTGCCAACAACCATTAATGGGGAGGGAAAGAAGAGCAAATGGGGAATAAACATGTATAGGTTAGATATGGGAATTAGGGAGGAGAGATGACGGTTTGACAGAGATCAGAGATGCAGGAAACCAACCTGTGCCAGTTTTCAAGGCCATGAAGCTTTGGAAAAGAATATGAATTGCTCCGAACATCCAAAGCGATTCTCAAAACACCTATGCAGCTCGCCATTGGCCGAAGACAATCTGGTCCGGGGGGGGGGAGGACCAGGATGAAAGGGAAAACTTTGTAACTTTTGGTGCAAGAACATTAGTTCTAGCCTGCTTTTACTGCTGCCAGTAACCTTTAGTAATAGAACCTGTCACTTCATCCAAATGGAGTCGAGGGTCTTTCTTTCCTAAGGGATTTGACTGGGGCAGGTCTGACAAGAGGTATGTCAAATACAGAATAATAGTAAAACAAGTCTTTATGAAAATATTTGACTGTAAGCGGACATACAAGTAAATAGGATGCCCAGATTTGGTTTAGTCTTTCATTCTGACAAAAGTTTCCTAGTTCAAATAATAATTAAACTTTTGTGTAGATGCAGATCAGTATAAGTATGGAAAGAATCGTGTTGAAGCAGATGCAAAGAGATTACAAACAAAAGAGGAGGAACTATTGAAGAAAAAAGAAATCCTAAGGAATCACCTGGCTCAGTTACGAAAAGAAAGGAAAGACCTCCGGGCAGCTCTTGAAATGAATCCTGGTATGTTAGGCCCGTCTTTTTGTTTATAATCAAAGTATCAGGACATAATGTCTCTAGCATCAAAAGTAGCTTTTTTATTATTATTTTTACATGAAAAGATTCAAACTTAGAAACAGAGTGGTTATCTCCTGTTTATAACTTAAGGGAGTTTGCATTACAAAGATGAGACCAATACACAAACTGCTACTCTGTGCCAATTTTCTGTTCCTTTGTAATATTCAATTACATTTGAGGATGCTGAAATAATGAGACATTGTGTTTCCATATTCTTTTCAATGACAGCTAATGTTATGAAGAGGGTGGCAGAGATTCTTATTTGTTTCTTTATTTTATAGCAGTTCTGTTGTAGTTGTGTATATGATGTTACAGAAGAGGAGGCAACTGTTCAAGCATTAAGCTGCCACTTTCAAGGTAGTCCTGTGTTATAGATAGCATTCTTTTTATACTATTTTATTTGCCAGGCTGGATCATTTTAATGAAGTTAAATGCTCAAGACTAGTTTATACTGTTGAATAACCATAGCACTAAATATATACTTTGGCAATAATTTGCTGATGCAGTCTTAACTATTGTATTTTAATTATAGAACATTTTATCCAACCAGAGTGGTGTTCAGGTGGGTGGCTATAACAACTGAAATTATAAGTAAAAAAGCAAACAGACAACCTGGGTACATTTAACGTGGCTGTTCAGGTTAGAGTAATTTTGTATTTGACGAATGACGATGACTCACTTCTGAGGCTACAGTCTGTGAAGTGTCTTCACTTTCCAGTTTAAGAACAGAGTGTACAGTTTTATCACAGCCTCAAAGCTCACTTCTCTCCTCTGGATTTCAGGCCGGAAACCCCTAATAATCCTTGAAGATAAATTAAAGAAGTTGGAAGAAGAGTGTAAGTTGAAAGAGTCTGAGCGTGTGTCTCTGGAACTAGAGTTGACGGAAGTGAAAGAGAATTTGAAAAAGGCTTTGGCTGGAGGCATCACACTGGGATTGGCAATCGAGCCTAAATCACAGAGTTTAACTGCACAGGTATTTTAATTTAAATAAATTTAATTTGATTTAACCTTAAATAGATTCTACTATAAAATATATTTTATAAATAATTTAAGTATTTAATTATTTTTAAATAATTACTGTCTGTCCTGCTTCACATATGAGATTCAGCACTCAACTCTGTCGTTTGTTTGCACACTTTTGCTAGTTTAGATCTGTTACTACTTGGAGAATTATTATGCCATTTTATTATATTAATTATTAAATATAGATATATAATAAATGTTATATATTATTAATTATTATACCTTGGCTTTATGTAGCATATTGAGCACCACAGTTGAAAAGATTGTATGAAAACATGGAGATAAGGCAGAATGTATTTTAAAAAATTAAACACATCTGAGACTCTGGAACTTCTAACTCAGATATGCAACCTGTTTTTATACTCGCCTTTGTAGTTGAAGATTGGAAGGTAGTGAATGTAATTAATTTTTGAGAAGGAGTCACAGAGAGATCCAGAAAATCATAGATCTGTCAGATTAATGTTTCTTCTGAGGAAGATAGTAGAGACTTCTGTTAAAGATAAAATTAGCAAACATTTGGAGACAAAGGCCTTGGTTAAGGATACCCAACATGGCTTCACTAAGGGAAGGTCCTATCTTAGCTAATGTACTAATAAGCATGTAGATAAGGACAAATTAGTAGACATCAACTGCTTAGTGTTTCAAAAAGTGTTTAATAAAGTCCATAATCAAAGACTTCACAGTAAGCTTAACAGCCATGGGATAAAATGGCAGGTCTTCTTATGCATAAGCAACCTGGTAAAGAACAGAAAATAGAATTGTAACAAATTTACAGTAGAAGTAAATGGTCATGGCTCACAATGGAGGGATAAAATTAGTGGGGTCCTCCTAGGACCAGTGGTTTTTATAAATGATCTGGAATCAGGCATGATTAGTGGAATAGCCATGTTTGCTGCTGAGAGATATATGTTTCTTCGCTACTTCTAGATTTCAAGTTATATGGCTCTGAAATTATTAACTCATTTAAAGGAGTGCAGAGATTCCTGACTATGTATCTGCCAATCTTACACTGTTATCTTGTTCTTTCAAACCAATCTTCACATTTGTCCAATAGGATAATATCCTCTTCTTAGAGAGGCAGGATAGTTTAACTGCTGATACAACTATTGATACTTTTTGATAGCTGTAGTTTCAGGTTATTTTCTATTTATTATTTAGTCCCCAGTTCTAAAGCATCAGACACTGGAGAATTCACCCATCTCCAGTTGTGATACAAGTGATACAGAATGTTCTATGCCTGTGAATAGTGCAATTGTCCTGAAAAGACATTCATCCTCAAGCACCTCTCCATGCCGAGGCCACGTGCTTCAGAAGGCAAAGGTGAGATACACACGGTTGTTACATATTCTACTACTACTACTACTAAGTGGCTTGGTTTATTTATCCTTTCTCCATAGCAGAGAAGCCAGTTTGCTGTCTTGCTTTGCTTTGAAAGAAGATACTGTTGCTCAGAAAAAAAAGCCCTTGGAAATCATATTTCCCTTTAAAAGTTTGTTCTTTTAGTTCAAGTGAGAGAAAAAAATGTGGAAAAATAGCTCTCCAGTTGCAGTATGATTCTGTAAAAAAAATATTTGGATTTTCTGCATGTTTGTTTAGCTTTGCCATGAGTGTTAGCAGAACATTGAGTCTTACATATAAAAAAAGTCCACCAGAACAAATGACACTAAAGTTTGGTTCTTGCTTCATTATTTTATAAACAGATTCATCCAACTTACAGTATGTGAAGATAAAAATGTAATCATCCCCCTATTTTAGTCAATTTGATAAAAGAACAGGGGCTATTTGTTCAACAATAAAAGCTTATTTGGGCCAACCCTGCCTCAGATAAACTTCAAACATTGACTGCCCTTATTAAGATAAAAATCTTCCCACATAAGCAGTCAAAAGAAATTTCTGAAGATTTCTGTAAAAAAAAGGCATTGAAAAGATGTAGAAAAATATTCATGAAGGTCTACACCTACACTAGTAACCAGTCAGAAACATAGTCTTGAAATGGACAAAGTTTGGGATATTGTTTCCAAAGTATGGACTGTGCTGTTAAAATCACTACAAATGTGCAGTGTGAAATTATTCAGGTGGACACAAACAATCCCACTGTAAACAATATCCAGATTTGTAAATATCTCTCACATTAGCTAAAGTCGATGTTCATGATTTTATCATAGCTTGTAGCTGAATTCAATATAGTTTCACTACCAAACTAACACTGTTGATCTGCAGAAGGAAATGAGGAATGGTCCTCCAGAAACCCCCAAACCTTGGGAAAGGAGCAGTTATTGGCCATAAATTTGCCTTTCATTGGTTCATATTAAGTGCTTTATGAGCACTTAATGAGCAAGGTTTAGAGTTGGGTCTGGGTGAGAATTACATCCACTTTCCAATCACCTATTGTGTTTGTCTGAAGCCAAGTCTCAAAGGAAGCTCTAAGCTTGTCAGATACCCAAATGCAGAATCACATGCTAGATTGCAGTTTAGTTTTTGCTTAGCAACTGCCTTATTAAGCAACCATTCAAAGTTACAATGGTGCTGAAATAACTAATCTTAGAACCAATGTTTGCATTTATGACCTTTACAGTACCTCTCTCTCACAAGATTACCATTATAGTTAGTATATGTTGTCCTGTGCCTGACTTTTACAAATTACAAAAGAGTAAGCAACCACACCATAGGAAATGTGCAATGAAAAGAATGTGGTGGCATCAGCAGCCCTGAGTATGCTATGCAAATAGTCCAGTGTATTCTCCATAGTGTGCCTGCTTACTCTCTTTTAATCCCTTCCTCTCCAATCTTCCCACTCAGGGAGTGGGAGATGGATAAGGCACAGGAGAAATTGCATAGCTTTTTCTTCCCCTCTGTAGGCAATCTCTCCTGTGCCTGACCTAGCCCCCCCCTCACAGGAGACTTTGAAAGGGAGGGATTACAAGAGAGTAAGCAGGCACAGTGGGGAATACACTGGACTGTTTGCATAGAACTCTCAGGGATGCTGGCATCAGAGCATTGATTTTCATGTGTATTCCCCATTGTGTGCCTGCTTACTCTCTCGTAATCCCTTCTTCTCCAGTGAATGTAAATACAAACATTAATTTCAGTCTTGTTAATTATCCCCTGCTGCGGGGAGCATTCCAAAGGGGTGGGAGTGGCTAAGAAGCAGACAAAAGCTGAAGGTGCAAAACTAATTAGAAGACCCCAAAGGGCAGGGGAGTGGGAAAGGAAAAGCACAGTTACAGTCACATGATTTCCCAAGACTATTTCACTTAATGACAGAACTGTTGGTCCCAATTGTGGTTGCTAAGGGAGGACAACCTGCTTAACAGTTCCCTTTTCCATCTTAGTAAGCTGTCCATGTTTACCTTCTTCCTGTTTTGACCCATAGTTGCAAGATTTTATGAAATCATACATTACAGTATACCAGTTCTGATTTCATTATTTTTTTGAGTCAGTAAGATTCTGAGGCTCTACAATGGGGCATCCCAGCTTTGCTGGGTGGCCATGCTGGCTGGGCAATTATGGTAGTTGAAGCCCACACCCTTAGAAGTTACGAAAGTTTAGAATTTCTTTCTGGAATTGTCTTTTTTTAAAATCCAATTGTAAACAATAATTTTTTTCTAGGTTGGTACATAATATTTGACTTTGCTGATATGAATATATGTGTATTTGTAATTATATTTACATTTTTTTTTCATTCTTTCTAGGAGTGGGAGATGAAAAATGGAACATAAAGAAATACAATTGCTACTAGAATTCTGCTTTGGGTCTCTTGACTCAAGATGAACTAAGGAAGATTAATCTGCACAGGGGTATTAATGGGTTGTCAGTTCTGTTTAGTGAATGGTCAGTATGCTTAATACAGCTAGAAGGGGGGGCCTTCTTGAATGTGTCATTTCAAATGCAGTGATTATTTACTCACTTAAAATATGAAAGAAACAGTTTAAATGATTACGTAGATGGATCAGGTAAAACTAGGAACTGTGTTGGATGGAAATGGAGATTGGCATGTTTCAGTACCCATTTGGAATAGATTTAGATACATTTTAATTATTAGATATGAAATCCAATTTTGACTCCCTAAAACTTTGCTGTATGAATGTGGGGATTCACAGACTTGTAATATTAATTCAAGGCTTATGAATTTTATGCAAGAGAAGAATGGAGAGTTGTAGTCTTTGCAGAAATTACACACCTGCTGTTTTCCATGGTGAGTAGAGATCAGAGAAAGACTAAATTCTTAATGAGGAAGTGAGATTAGAGTAAATAGAAAGACATCTTCAATCCCAAGTAAAAATACCAGTCTCTTTTAAACTCTTTTTTAAAAATGTATTTATTTGCTTGCTTGTTTTGAAATGGTTTTACGGATTTTATTTTCAAAAATCAAATAGCAATGGATGCCACTTTACACATACAAAAAAGGTCCACAACATAGAAACTGGTTTTGAAGCAAATTTATGAAAGAATCAAAAACTTTTCAAAACAAAAGAAAAATTTGGATTCAGAAATCCAAAATACCACCCAACTTAAAAATATTTAAATTGATTAATTTTAAATTAAAAATCCTTAAAATTGCTACTTTCCTTCTCTAATAAAAGCAGCAATGAATGTCTCCCCAAAAAATGAAATGGTGTTATTTCTAAAATTTGTTGTCTGTTAAAAAGAGACAGAATATTCTAAGACAACAATGTAAAACTTGTTCTTTTCCTGCTATAACTGTGGTTTAGGCATGAATCTGAATTGTGAATTAAGAAGTGCCTACCTGAGAAGCATTAGGGAACACGGTAGCTCTGTGTCTTAGTTTCCAAATGCCATTTTCAGTACCGGGATAATAGTAATACCATCTTTGCAGACTTACAGAGATAATATTTGTGAAGTACAATGCTTGAGATGATCTACATACCTTTTCATTATAGTCTTTCCATCTTCAAAGAAAATGTAAAATGTCTCTTCAGGTAGAGTTCCACTATTCCCTTCTGTGCATATGGGCTGCTCCAATATCATCTGGCATAGGATACAACACAGCTGGACAGAGAACTCCTCCATCGGATAGTAAATAGATTTGCAGTGCTTTTGCGTCTCTTTCTCCCTTTTACAGTTCTGTTTCTTACCCAAGAGCTGTGACAAAAATCATGGCTGGAGAGGCTCAAGTGTTTTCTCCTTTGTTCCCCTCCCTGTCATATTGAAGTAGAACACAGGTGTCAAACTCACCATGTCACGTGACGTGTCGCAACGTATCACGACTCTTTTTGCATTGTCGGCAATGGGGTGGGTGTGGCTTCAGTATGATGAAACCGGCCTGTGGGCCGGCAGTTTGACACCCCTGAAGTAGAAAGTCCTTACAAGAAGCTGCTGCTGATAGAAAGCTCTGAGTAAATGACAGAATAGCCAGAGTTGGCTCTGTGCCCCCTGCTTCGCCAACCATTTCTATTATGTTTGAGTTAGAGTAGGTACTTTAAAAGTGGCAGGATCTCCAAGTAGCATTACTTATGAGAACAGAGACCAAGGCACTCTAAACTAGTGACTTATTTCTTTATGCACCTGTACCACTCACTTTATAACACAAGTGACAACTTGAAGAGACAAAGTCTAAGTCTAAAATGCATTTATTTTTAAAGCACCTAGCCTTTTGCTAACTAGAAAGCCAGAAAGAAAGAATTGTGGTGGGAGAGAACTGCTTGGAGAAGGACAAATGCTTTGGGCATCAATCCCTTTTTATAGTTTGATCCCCAGCTATGCATTTGGATATAGCATTTATTCTTTGTATTGCCTGCATTCTTCATGTCCACAAAATGTAGGTCATAGTAGAACTAAAGATTTTCAGCTAGCCATGTCCAGCTTCAGGTTGGAGGTAGGTTTTTTTTTAACCTTGGAATGATCTTGCTCGGTCTTTAATAAGTTGCTTTTTTATTATTCTGAGATACTTGTTCTCTAGAATCCTCTGCCTAGATATTAGGTTTATTAAACCTTTGCTGAAGACCTACAAATGCATTCAGGCCTTCCTTGTATAAATACAGTTATTCTTTAGATGATTATTTTTTAATTTATTATAATTTAATTGTGGAGAGCTACTTTGGTGTAGTGGTTAAGACATCAGACTATGAACTGGGAGACTGTGAATTTTATTTTGCCTTAGGCATAGAGCCTTGGGCCAGTCACTCTCCAATGACTGACCTTGGGTCAGTCGCACTCTCAGCATTAAGAAGGAAGCAGTGAGCAAACCACTTCTGAAAAACCTTGCCGAGGACACTGCAGAGACTAGTACAGGCAATCACCAGGAATCAAAAAATGACTCAAAGGCACCCAAGCTGTTTTGAGAAAATTGTCTGGGAAAACAGCATATAGTTAATAAACAAATACTGGGCTGCCATGAAATTCATCTGCCTGAATTTAGGAAAAAGGCTTATTAAAAGGCCCTTGGGTGATAACCGCTATATCTAAAAAGATTCATCTTGCCTTTGGTGACTGGTGACTTATTAAGGATTAATGTCTGCATTTAAGTTCCAGGTATTACACACATCCATAAATTGTTCTAGTGTCCATAATGTAAAATGTAAAAATATTACACATCTTGATGATAGATTTTCATTTTCTACAAGAAAGGCTGTGGCAGGAAGATGAATTAGCAACTGATGGTTGAGAGTCCAGTTCTGGGCATAATCAAAGGTAAACAATTTTACACAGTTGTAGGGACAATTGATTTCATGCATGTCAGTTATCTCAAAACTGTTTGCTCAGACAGAGAATGAGATCAACATGGGATCCACAATGCAGTGTCAGTAGGCTTAGTGTGCTCATACATCATGTATATTTCCTTGAAAATTTAATGTATATTTCCTTGAAAATTTAATTTATAAAGATACATTTAATTTTAAATGGTATGTGCCCAGCTTTATTTCCAAAAATGTATGTGGGCCTTATATGCTCTGTATCTGACCGAAAAATCCATCCAAACTGTAGCCCTGCTTACTAGTTATTTTGAATCTTCTGAGCAGCCTAGGGTAATTTCCAGTGAATCCTTGTTTCCGTTTTGTGGAAAATTGAGAGCTTCACTGTATTTGGAAAGGAATTGGCATAGAAAACAGCCTATATTTGAGCGTGCAGGGAGGAACTCTGTATGCAATTGGTTGTAGCACTAGCTTCTTGTTTATGTCAGAAAGATGGAGGATAAGCATTCCATAAATGGGGTATATTTTTGAGGCCCTGAATTTACATGCTTGATAATACAATTTTTCCACTGCTGCTGCTTCTAATAGTTGTTTGGATATTTTGCAAAATGCAGTTTGCTGAAATACCTTCAATAGCCCATTGATCTTTACTGAAAAGGAAGTTTTAAACAAAAGTTATTTTGTTTAGGCAAATTATTTGAAACTAATTTATTTATATGTTTGAATAAATGTTTAATTTATGGATGTACATATTTATGAAACTAGATCTAGTTCTAATCAACAAATGTTTAGTAAGGAAGTGATTTCTTTTATGGTGTCTATTACATACCGCATAACAAAGAGAATAATTAGAATAATTTTATCAGATATGTCCAATTTTATCTTTTTGAACATTATTTTGAGCATAGGGTGCATTTTGAATGGTAGTTGCTATCATTTCATCCTTTTTTCAACTGGCCATGCAATGGCTGGGGAACCTGTGACTCTCCAGATGTTACCGACTTACAGCTTCCAGCAACTCTAGCTAGCCTTGTTGTTAGTTTTTTTTAGTTCAGTAGCATCAGAAGACAATGGATTCCCTAGGTCTGCGCATGAGAGATGAGCCTGTTATGTTGCTCCAGTGGCCTTATTCTAGAACAGTTTTATACATTTTAAAGATACCTTGACTTTCATTTGTTGGAATCATATTTAATGTCCTTGCTTGCCTAAGCATTTCCAGAAGACCTTTGAAATTGAATTAAATTTGCAATCTAGTTTGTCTTTCTTTGCTGTATTGCTTGTTCAGTTTCAGTTTTATGTGTGTTTACCCTTTGTTGTTCTAAGAAATTAACACAAGCCACTTTGAAATATGCTTTAATGAAGAATTGGCACAGAACAATTTAATCTTGAGGCCAGAGGAGCAATATAGCCTCTTCTAGGGGTAAAGGTGTGGTGTGTACCAAAAAAGTATATTTCACTGGTCCATTCTCTTTTCCCGTCATGTAATTCACTATCCTTTTGCAGGCTTTTGTTCATAGATAGGAAAGCTTTATGAAGTCATTCATCGGGCTGCCTTGGCAACGGTGCTCCCAGCAACTTTTAAAAAGTTTTATATACATTGTATTTCTACACTACTGTACAGGGACATTTTACAGATTTAAGTTGCAATGGTATTGTTTAAATTTTTGTTAGGAAATCATATTTGATGTCATAGGGTTGGGATATGAATATAATTTCAATGTATTTGGGGAATGAGCAGTTTTTTTAAAAAAACTATATTTGCGACATTTTAATACTAATTTTATATCAGTCTTCTAATATTACTTACTGCACCTACCAATTAATCTGAATTGTCTAATCCAAAATATTCATATATTAAAACTGTAATTTCCTACTGTATTTTTTAAATGAAAACGTATTTCAGTTCCCCAAGCAGGTGAAACATATCAGTAAGAGGAAGCCTCTTCTCTATATTTATTTTATGTCTCCTGTATTTTATTATACTGCTTAATGTTTTTCCTGTGTTTCTCAAAGTTCAGCTGTTAGAAGTTAAATGCTGAATTAGTTAAACCTGCAGTTTAACTTTGGAGAAAACACCTTTATAAATAAATTCCAAATGAAAGAAAAAATGCCAACAAGAAACTTCGGCCTCATTAGCTATGATTTATTTTTACCTTTCTGTCCCCCAAATGCTATGACAGGCACCTTTTTTGGTGTAACATTTACTTCTTATTAATAAAGAAAAATTGTGAAAAATCAGCATTTGTTTTTCAGAATTCTTTTTTCTGGTGTTTTGCACAACTTCTTAGCACTTGATGCGCTAAGAAAAACGTTTTATGTTAGCTGGGCTACTTATTATGCCTTTTCCTCTTTTTCTTCTTTCACTGCTACATCTGGATTGTACCTTTCTCCAGTGATAATTTGGTATGATCTCTGTAACAGTGCTATTACACATGGCAGGTACATGGGTGAGGCTTTTTTGAACCTGAATAGTATGCTTTTCTGTCCATGTCTGGGGGAGAAAGATGTGGGACTGGCTAACTTAAAGCCAGTATAGGGTCTCTGCTCTTAGTGGGCACATCAATCACATACATTTAATAAACAAACTATTATAGTCCCAAGTAGGCAAAGTTTAGATTCAGAGTCTAAAAAAATAGTTTTGGTCTGTTGTTGAAGGTTTCCAACCTGCCTGCTCCCCTCACAACACAGGGCTGCTAGGCATAGGAACAGTTTTCACAGGTAAGGAAATTCATGAGGTCACTGAACTGCACCCGTTTCACCTGTACACGTTGACAGGTCAGTTCTTG